CAGCGTTGTGCTGATCATTACAATTGTAATGATTTCATTACAATTCACTTCTATCATTACATCATTACGTACATTTCAAAATATAGCTAAAATCATTACATTTCCTGAATCTAATCAAGGTCACGTCACAGATGACTTCTGCGGTCAGGTCACATCCATTTTGAGAAGAAGTATGCTAAGATTGCTAAGAGACATCTGTTATCTGTTGAGAAATGATAATTGACAGTTGAGTAACACCCAAACTAGAGAGAGAAAGAGATATAACAGACAGTTGACAGTGAAACCTGTCACAAACTGGCATCAGTGATCAGTGACATCTGACTCTGAACCTGAACTCTGACCACTGTCACTGTCACCACTGACAGTGACATGCTAGTTTTATCTTTGATACATGTTTTACGTGAAGTATTTCAGTTTGATTTTGCACGAAAAAATAATTTTTTTTTTATTATAATATAATGTGTTTTATTTTTTAATGTTCACCCATTTTCAATCTTTTATTTTTGAAAACGGCTAAATATGAAAATTGAGTCATTTAAATATAGGGTTTCTCTACATTACTCCAAGTTTATGTTGGCAACATCAACTGTCATTACAATTCATTACATTTTCACAGGTTTGATCATTACAACATTTTTTCCTGTCAGCACAACCCTGATCTTGGCCCTAACAACTAGTCTCGATAAGCTGTTTAACGAGATAACACCGTGAAATATCATACGAATTAACGGTGTGTATGTGCATTAAGTGTAAAACTAAGCGTCGAAAACTGTAGCAGGTAGAAAAACTTGAGGACTTCAATCGACCAAACAAGCCTTCGGCCTGAACGGGAACGAAGCGAAACAATTCATAACTGGACGATTGGAATCGTTGGCAGAGAAAGCATCTCAGCCGGCAAACCACGCCGCAAAATACATGTGATTTGAATCCTTCCGATTTCCATAATTTCATTTAGTGTTTATCCTTATTTCTCAATCTCTGTGCGACTGTTGGAAGGGTTCATAAGTGAACATGGATCAAGAAACTCTAAACCGTAAACGTGGGTTTACAAAAGGGCGTCAAACCTTATTTGAAAATTATTTATTAGCATT